GGATCCAAACCCATCACAACGGGAGAGACAGGTTAGAACAGGTTAAAGGCTGAGGGTGGGCAGTCAGGTAATTCCAGAGACCTGGCTCCCAGACCTGCCGCTGACCTGTGCCTGTTGCGTGCTCCTCTGCAGGACTGGCACGTTAATAACCCTCTGGGCGCCTCAGATACTGCTGTGAGTTTAAATGACAGAACGGCCGCAGGGTGCTCTCGCAGGCGTGTCCTGAGCCGTGGGGCAGCATGGCTCTTACTGTCTTTTTAAACAACAAAATGCATTCGTGAGAATGGGAAACCAGTTTCTCTAAGCATGCCCTCACTCAGAACTCGGGCTTTTAACATGTGTCCAAAGCTCTTTGGCTGCCATGGGAAAATCCAAATCCTTTTCTTACAAAATGTCCCCGATAATAAAATAAGGACCAAGCTGGGTGAGGCCATTTAGAGTTTTCACATTAAAAGATTAACAGGAGAAGCAGGAGGAGGAGCATGATTGACCCCAGACCACTCCATTTGCCCTCCTTGTCCCCCTGTGTGCCCCTCCTCCGCTTCAGAAGGCGCTGGGGAGAGAGTCTGGTCTGGCCTTTGGGTTCCCAACTTAAGCTGTACGTTTTATCACGCTGCCAAGCGTCCTGTCTGAAGTCAGGTGGTTCGTGTGTGAAAGGTAGCCGTTCAACAGCCCCGCCGAGGACCTGGAACCGTTTACAGAGCTTGCCTGCCAGCTGTACATGCGAGCCGTGCCAGTTGGCTGGAAAGTTCTCTGGAGCGAGTCCAGTTAAGTAGACTGAATCACCGGCGGTCTTTCCAAGCTTGTGCGCTTAACAGCTCGGCCCTGCCCTCTGAGGTCTGACACGCAGCGTGGGGCGGTTCAGAAACAGCTTTATTGTGATGTTTCCCAAGTATGCGAGGGAGTGGGGCCTTCTGTGGCCTGGGAGCATTTGCATTTTCCTTGAGCGCTGAAACAGAGACATGGGGGCTTAACAGGGTCTAAAATAACAGGTTGGTGGGACTTAACCATTTCCCACAAATGTGTGTTCTGACACTCGCTGGGGGTGCATCCCTGCCACCCCCAGCGCCTCCTGCTCCCTAGCTTCAGGTGGCTGGGACCCCAGGTGTTTAAGATGACACCCCAGATTAGACAGAGTTATTGAGGTCAGAACCAGGCCACCAGGTTGGGGGCTGACATCTCTATCCAGGAAGACCGGAGGAGAAGCCTCTTAGTTTGATCAAGGGGTCATGTCTAAAGTTAAATTATCTCACGTACGGCTTCAAGCTGACCCAAATGAAGAAACGTGGACCTTAAGTTGGAGGTGAGAGCCCTGCTAAGAGCTGAAGTTTGTAATAATTCTATACATGCTCTGCTGTGGCCAACCTGGAAGTTTGTAATAATTATATATATATATATATATATATATTTTTTTTTTAAGCAAGCGACAATATAATTTGATGGTAGTACCTGCAATGGCAGTCACCTTTCCTGCAGGTAGAATTGATTCTTCTGCCCAAACTGCATTCTCATGGAGAACAGGGTGGAAGGCAGGATTTCTTTCTGCCGGGTGGGCAGTCTGCTTCCAAAGAGCTATTTGCGAGCCTCACGTAGTCAGGGAGAAGGCTCCTCCTGTATGCTTTGTTCTTGGTCATTTTCCCCCCTTGATACAGGATGATAAAAACAGCAGAGAATACCTTAGTTATTACCGAGGAGCGAATAACATACCATAATATACTCGTGTATAAGCTGAGTTTTTCAGCACAGTCTTATGCAGTTTTTGTGATAAAGTTAGGTGTGTCGGCTGATATCCGGGCCGGCTTATACTCGAGTATAAGTAAGTGTGCTCACTTGTCATACCTCGGTGAGCACGGGTGGCTTAGTGGTTACACATTGTACTGCCAGCTGGAAGGTGGGCAGTTTGAAACCCCGAGCAACTCCTTCGGAGAAGATGAGATTTTCTCTTCCCGTAAAGAGTTACAGTCTCAAAAGCCCACAGGGGCAAGGTCTACCCTGTCCTATACGGTCGCTATGAGTCCGGTTCGACTTGTGGGCAGTGCGTTTATACCTTTGGTCTTGGTGCCTATTTAAAAACATAGTATCTTGCAGAAGATTATATGAACTGCCATCGACACAGACCTTGGTCGGCTTTCTGCTGGGGAATACTGATCCTGCCTTTCAGCCTCCTTGGTCACACAACGCTGTACACAATTATAACGGCCGAGACATTTAAGTGGAGAGGTTTTTATTCATTTATGCACGCATTAAAGCTATTCACGCGCCCAATAAATGAAGCATAAATATTCCCCAGAAGCCCATTGGCCCTAACTTTGTAATAGTAACACCAAAAAAGAAGGAAAAATAAAACACAGCCCACATGTTTTATGAGTTAGTAGTTAAAGTTGTACGTCCCTGTGAACACTTACAGCAAACTGTGTTATTTCTCTTCTCGCTTTGCCAGAATAAGTACATGTCTTATTATCGTTATAATACGGGATGGATTTGTTCCGTTCTTGCTATAAATAGCCTGTCCAGTGCGGGCCCTGCGCTTAGCGCCAGGATGTGACCTTCGTATGATCTGTGTGAGCGTGTTGTCCTGTCACTTAGGAGGGGAGGGAGTGGGAAACCACATACAGTCCTTTGTGACTTTAGAGAAGCTGCTTGGAGGAAATCGTCACCTGGCTACTGAAGGAACAGCATGGTGAACCAGAGCTCCTTCAGCGGCCCATGAGGCTACCCCGCCCTCCAGGTTCACAGCCCCTCAGCGTTCCCTGTGCATGTTCTAGGGCACCAAGGGATTTTTCATTTTGCAAGGAATCCCCACTGCACAAGTATAGGTGCATGCATTCATATACATACATGTGTACATACATACAGATGATGGAGGAATGGCTAGATAGATGAAGAAGAAAGGAAGGACACTTGGTGTGTAGTGGGTTAATTATTGGGCTACTAAACACAACGTTAGCGGTTCAAACCCCACCAGCTGATTCTTGGGAGAAAGATGAGGTTATCTGTTCCCTGTGAAGATTTATAGCCTCAGAAACCTTGTCGTCGTTGTTTTTTTAATGGGGTTTGGGGTACACAGACCTGCCTAGTAACATTTTGGTCGTTGTGGGGAGGCTCCTAGGTTTGTGTCCTTGTCCAACAAACACATGTCTCCACCAGGGATCGTAAACATAAATCCTGGGCTTCCTGGAGACGCTTCCACAAAAGCACAGTGGAAATCAAGGGGTAGCATGAGAAGGAGTCGTCCGCAAGGACAGGCGGTCCTGAGACAGCTGCAATCCAAAAAAACCCAAACAGAAAACAAACTCCCTGCCAGGAAGTCGTCCATTCCCACTCGATGGACAGAGGAGGACGGGCCCTACGGGTGTCCAGGAGCAGACGCCCCATCTTTCTCCTGTGGAGCGCCTGGCGGGTTCCCACTTTTGATCTTGTGGTTAGCTCAAAGAGTAACCCACGACACCTCCAGCTGCGACCCCCCAACGTTCATGGAGGGAAACATCCCACCAGGCCGAGAAGTGGTAAGCAGGGGAGAGGGGTCTTTGTAACTGGCAATCTGCTTTTCCTCTGGGGCATGGACGCCCCGTGGTGGTGGTGACATGGCTTCCACGGGGAGGGAGAGAATTGGCTGTTTATATTGTGGCTTTGAGCTTGGGAGGAGAAAAAAGTAGGAGTCGCTAGGAAATGGCCCAGGGGGTTCGGGGTTGGGGAGGTGGTGCTGGACTGCCGCCTAGGGGCATGTTTCTTTTGTCAGAGGTCCAGAACTCTGACTGTGAAGCTCGTTTCCGAATCCACTGCATGACCTTGTACAAGTTAAAGAATCCCCCTCTGGGTAGTTTCGATTGGGGAAAAACCAGTTGCTTGAGAGGAGGTTGTTGAGAGAGTGGGCAGGGCTTCACACAGTGATGCGGAGAGGGACCTCCATCCCAGGAGGCACCCAGGAAGTGGCTCCCCTGTTTCTGCAGTCTGACCTTCAAATGGGAGGAGCACCCAGAGATGTGTTCTCTTGAGGTTCAATTTCAGCTCATATTTGACCAATGTCCCCACTTGTCAGTTCTTCTTTCTTTTTAACAATCATCACCGTAATACTTTACTTTAAAATAATTGTCAATTTGTTTTTTTCTTTCTTTTTTCCTTCCTTCCTTCCTTCCTTCTGCTTTTCCTTCCCATTCTGTTCTGTTTGGGTTTAGCTTGCTTACCCCAGGTACAGTCAAGAGGCAAATTCTCTTTGAAAACCTTGCAAACCTTTTGAATTTCACAGTCGCAACTCCTCAGTGCAAGGTGTGGAAAGTTCTAGAGTGCTTCTCCTGTGCCCAGCTTCTAGAGGACAGTAAATTGTGGCCCTGAAAACACAGCAACAAAACTCGCGCCAATGCCCACCCACAGCAACCCTATAGGACAGGAGAGAACTCCCTCTCTGGGTTTCCAAAAACTGTAATTCCTTATAGGAGTAGCAAGCCTCGTCTTTTTCCTGTGGAGCAACTGGTGGTTTCAAACTGCTGACCATGAGGTTAGCAGCCCAGTACATAACCACTACGCCACCAGGGCTTAGAATACACCAACCAAAGTATTGACTTGTGTGCATTTCAGCTCATGGATGCAGGGAGCCCCGCTGTGCGTGAGCGGCCTGCTAGGCTTTCGAGTGTCACACGAAGGTTGATTCCTCACCACTGAACCTTCCTGTCTCTCCCATTGGTATAATGGGTTTGCTTTGGGCATTCTCTGCCCATTGTACCCAGAGCCAGAGGTTGTGGGTCTATGGCAGGTATCAAGTTGCGCCTCCCTCATTTGCATTTCCTAGCTCCCTGCTTTGATGATCCAAAGGGAAGCTTGTAAAGGGTTGTGGGGAAATGTGTATGTCCGCAGGGGGCCTAGTCCAGAACAATGGAGCCAACCAACTTTCAGGTCAAAACACCATCCAAATAACTCTAACACGCTGGGTGAGGCTTGTGGAATTCCAGGGTCTGACCTGTAACCTCCTCCCCTCTGATTTTTATCTTCCCATCTATCTCCAGATTCTGATGCAAGGCATAAATCCAGGGGTGGCCTGGAAGTACACCCTTCCGAAGGCGGCGAATGGAACACAGACGACCCCCCAGAGACACGTGTACTCCTGGAATGCAGTGCAGTCCAACTGTTCAGTCTCCTGCGGCGGAGGTAGCACGCACCCTTCAGTCTGCTCCTCCTGAAAGCACGCTCTCACACCCCAGGCCGTTTTCACACTGTCCAACGAATATGTGCCACTGAGGGCTTCCCATCCCAAGAACTAGCCCTGTAGATGCCCATAGTATTGTCTCTGTGTTTCTCTACACAGAAAGTCACCGATCCTCATGAGTCATCTACCAGTAGGGCGCAAAGGTTACCCATCTGAAATTTAAGGGACACACACACACACACACACACACACACACACGTCTCCCTGGTTAATGTTAGATTCACGTGCTTGTTGCTACCTGAAAGGTCGGCAGCTCAAGGCTCCACTTGGAAAGAAAAGGGTGGGATCTGATCTACTGCAGAAAACTTAGCTCCCCCACAGCCTGTGTAGCACAGTTCTGTTTTAATGCATATGAGATCATCACGAGTCAAAATTCACTTGATGGTAACTGGTGAGTGCGCGCGTGCACACATACATGATGTTTCTCGTTCCGAACCAAACTGCCATCCAGTCACTTCCAGCTCACAGCAACCCTGTAAGACAGGGTAGAACTGCCCCTGTGAGTTTCCAAGACGGTCACTCTCTATGGGAGTAGAAAGTCTCATCTTTCTCCCACAGAGTGGCTGGTGGTTTTAAACCGCCGACCTGGCAGTTAGCAGCCCAATGTGTAACCCACTCTGCCACCAGTGCCCCTCTGAGAGGACGAAAGGTGGTGTGTATATATCTGTGTGTGATCTTTTAAGTTTACACTTCAGTTTCCCAAGTCCTGATTTTTCTGTTGTTGTAACTGACCTGCTGGAACTGATAGACAGAAGGGTCCAGGCCAGCGAGGAGACAGTGAGGCATGGGTGCCGTGTCTTGCCCTGCCCTCAGGGAGGGCAGCAGAGTCTCCCTGGGGAAGGACAGTCGATTCGACCTGAGAAGCAGACCTGGCAAGGAAGGAGCAGCCACCCTCATCCAGTCAACAAAATGGAGAAGAAAGTGCCTTTCTTTAGATACCACCACATCGCTGCTTTGTGCGTAAGGCCAAATTTGTCACATGTGTCCCCTGGGGAAAACAAACACCCATGTAAGACTCCATGAAAGCCACACATGAAGGCTGGTCTCTGGCTTCTAAGTAGGGTGCCTTGGAACCAGGGACTCAGAAAGTCAAGGTTCTGAACCCGGCCAATGCTGATGCTTTCTGAGGCCAAGCCAAGAAATAACGGAGAAAGACATGCTTCTCTTTAGAAAGATGTTAAATAATTCTAAAGGTAGCACTGTTATAGGAATAACATTTTGAAGGTGATATGCTGTAGAAAAGAAAAATAAATCGCCTGTCACTCTATAGTCAGCAAGGAAAAACTAATCCACTGCCGTCGAGTGGATTCCGAATCAGAGTGACCGGAGGGGATGCACAAGAACTCCTGAGGGTTTCCCAGGCTGTAAATCTTGAGGGAAACAAGATGCTTCCTCTTTTGCCCAAGGAATGGCTACTGGGTTTGAATGGCTAGACTCATGGTTACCAGCCCAGCATGTCATCCACGACTCCACCAGGGTGACACGAGTCAGCAATACCCACCATTAATACCTTGAGCCACAGCCTCCTGCCCCTGTTCAAATATCACATCAACACCCATGTGTGCTTGTGACGTGCTCAGATGCGTAGCACAGGTCGCCTGCTGAAGTACGTTTGAACTGCTCAGAGATCATGCTGCGGATGTCTTCTCCCCCTCTGCTCTTTCTCACCAAGTGTTAGGTTCTGAGCAGTTTTTCACCGATCAACTATTCTTTGGTGCATTTCTGTTAACTTCCCAGCATCCAAGGAGAACAGCTGGGGCCAGGAACACAGTTCCTCCTGGAAAGGGAGAGATTGGACTCCTTTTCCATTCGCTGGGAATGCTTCCAGTCCAGGAAAGGATGCTGGAGGAGAGCATTATGGGATTTTCCTCTTGCCTATATTTAGCAGTCCCTTCAACATGGCTCCTATTGGAAAATGGTATGTCCTAGGCTAACGGGGGACAAGAGTCCCTCTAAATATCCCAGAAGTCCATAGTATCTTTTAGGGAACTCCAGTGTGACTTGGATAAATGGCCCCGTGAAAGGAAAGCTATTTCCATCAGCCTGGAGCAGGACCGCCTGCTTATCATTTTCAGCTGGAGGGACTTCATTGTCCTAAAATTCTACTCAACGCACAGTTACCCTGGAAATATAAGCAAATGTAATCCAGAGTGGAAATCGCACTTCTATTGGGGCAGCTGACAAATGCAGGGATTCCACGCATACCAAAAAAGCTATGTTTCGTGACGAGACATGAGCAAGGAATGAACCCTGACAATAAGATGTGGAACGCGGCCTTTAGTGAGGCCCACTTCTATTTCCATGCGCATCGTGTTGCTGTGGAAGTAGATGATGCTCCGTGGTAAAGTAGGATCTTAGGGTTTGGCTGCATAATCCACCCGTGGGTCTCATTACCCCTCGGGCATTCCTGTGGACGGTCATTCGCCGTCGGATGTATACAGGGTGAGCGAAGGCTTGGTGGCCTCTTCTGCTTCTCAGAAGGTTGACTCTGTCATTCCACGGGCCCAGAGTCCACGCCCGTCTTGCACCCCCAGGAGTCACCCTCTATGGCTGGGAAAATACGAGAACTTCCATCCTTTGTAGTGTTCAGGCCAAAAGGAGGTATCTCCACAAACTAGTAACCTATCAGCAACACGGTGGAATGGGAAGCCGAGCTTGGGAAGCAGCCTGCAGGGGTCCCCTCTAATGTTCACTCTGTAACGTTTGATCTCTTACTAGGGTACATAAGCATAAAGGCCATTTGCTTACGAGATCGGAAAACTCAAGTCAGCTCCTCGCTCTGCAACGCAAGGACCAAGCCAGCCACGGAACCCAAGATCTGCAACGCTTTCGCCTGCCCCGCCTAGTAAGTCACCTGGGGACCCCCCTTCCGGTCATACTTGTATGTCTTCAGCCGCAGCTCTGCGAGCGTGACGGTGAGGTGCTCAGTTGTGACCCAGATGATTAGTGGTTCAAATCCACTCAGCAGCTCTGAGGAAGGGAAGTTCTGAAAATCCTGGGGGCAGTTCTACTCTGCCGCATGGGGTGGGGGTGGAGGCACCATGAGAGGGAATAGACAAGAGGACACGTGATACCAATCTCTCTATCGCGATAGTATGAGCAACACACCTCCAGTTCTTCTGGCTCAAAGCGACCCACAGGTAGATGCGATGCCCGGAAAGATAGCGGCAGGAAGGGGGCAGTTGAAATGACAGCATACGAGAGGCTGTCCAAAGGCGCACAGGAAAAGTGAATGAAAAGATAATGGAATGCCTTCACCAACTATCTGTAGCCCATTTGTATAGACGTCAAGAAGCCAGCTGTGCATTCTCTTTACGTTCGGTTTTGGAAACCAGAGTTCCATTCTTCTTTGATTCTAGTTTTCCAGCAACTTGGTGGAGCCCGTTGGTTTGACTTGTCAAGCCCACATTTGCTTCAGTCTGGCCAGCCAAACCCAACCTGGGAGCAAGAGTGTCTTAACAAACAGCAACCAAATCCTTTGGGTATTGGCCTCTCTGCTCTGCTCGGCATCAAGCAGATAGTTAAATAGCACAGAGTCAGTCCATAGGGATCATCCAAGAATTTAAAACAGCATACTACTGCACAGACCATGAAACCCCAAATGCAAATTATATAGTAGCGAGACTCAAAATAAAGAGCGCAGCGCCAACTAGAGACTTCGGCTCTGATTTTGGCACCCTAGGGTGGCCCTGAGGGATTGGCTTGCGGGTGCATGTTGTCTCACTCTTGTATGAACACTTATTTCAAGTCATCTTCCGGCCAAACGAAGTCTTCCCTGAAGTGAGTCATCTCCTGCCAAAGCTATATCTGTCGACTTGATTGTGTTTCTTCTCAGCCAGTGTTACTCTCACCAGGGTCCCAGAGCATCGTAATTAGCGGGCTTAGGTTTGTGGCGATACAGTCAGATGTGCCGACTTTATGTAGACGCATATACACACGGATGCCTTTTCTTCCTCTAGAAATAAAGGGCATTTGTTTTCAACACTTGGGGTTTCAGCTGGCCACCAATCCCAATACCCAACAGCCGGCCCAGTTCTTTCAGAAGTGCGAGTCAGCTGTATCCTGGGCACAAAGAGGAGGCTGGAATTTGGGGGACTTCCTTGGATTTCCCCCTTTGCTAAGCCAGCGTCTCTAAGAAATGCCAAGTGATTCTAAGAACTAACAAGGGACTCGGCACCATTGAGTTGCTATTGAACTTTAGGGGAGATAAGGTGTGTGTGTGTGTGTGTGTGTGTGTGTGTGCGTAAAGCCAGGACACTTGAATGACTAAGCTGATGTTTGATTTTTGAACCACACTCGCCATCATGATCCCAGTAGCCAACCAAAAACTGGAATGTAATCCCATCTGTGCGGCCATGAAAAGGTAGCAAGCCTAGATCCTGTCCGCTCCCTAAGTCCTCCCAACAGGCTGGGTACAGAAGTGCTAGTCTCCATGGAAACAGAATCCCTGGCTCATCAACAGTAGAGCAGACTCTGCCATGACTCTGTGCAGTGGACATGGTGAGGTGGCTCCTTGATTACCTGCTCCGCCCTATTCCTTAGAGCTCAATGTTTGCTGTTGGAATATGGGGGACACCCGGGGTAGAGCCCATAGCTGCATAGAAGAAATGGGTGTGTCACTAAAGAGTGGGGTGCCATGTGGTACATGGAGCCCTGGCGGCATCGTGGTTACCCATTGGGCTTCTGCGCTGTAACCTTCTAAGCTGACCCCTGTGCCTTGAATCTAACAATCCCAGTGAGTCGCCATGGAAGCCTTGGTTGGGTCTTTTATTACAGTCAAGGTCCGTACTAGTTGCTCATTGGGCTGCTAACTGGATAGGTCAGCAGTTTGAAACCACCAGCCACTTCACAGGAGCAAGATGGGGCTTGCTATTCCCATAGAGAGTCACCGTCTCAGAAACCCACAGAGGCGGTCCCAGTAAGATGGCATCCCTCAGTGCAGTGAGTTTGGTTGTGGTTTTTGATGTGGTCCATGCTGTTAAAATGTTGCTCACTGCCATCAAATCAATCCTGACCCATAGCAGCCCTCCTAGGGATTCCAGGACTGTAAATCTCTATGGGAGCAGAGAGCTGGATCTTTCTTGGACCCAAACGTAGTCACGGAGAACGATTATAGAGCAGTTTTGTCTTCCAAGGAGGGTGGGAGCATGTTGGCCCTAAGGTTGCAGGGCACGAGACACGCGGGGCTGGAGAGTTAGCCGAGCTGCAACACGGAGGGCCAGGCAAGTCCTGGGAAAAGCCGTCTGCTGTGCTTTCCTAGTCCTTTCACCACGATGTCCTGCTGTTACCCAGAGGCAAGAAAACCGGGATGCGGTGAACAAAAGTGGCCTTCTTAGAAACAAATGTTGAAATGGATAACTTTATAACTTCCTGGTATCCAAGGAGAAGTGTGAACTACCCATAATGCCTAGGACAGAGCCCTTGATGAGGAGTTTAGACGCCAGTAACTCTGGCTGAGTGGATGAATGGATTGCCCATGGGAGGGCAAGGGATGTGTGTTCCCCTAGTGTGTGACAGGCAGGTGGGTCCGACTCTCTGGACCACCTCCACATAGACATCGACTTCTATAAAAGAGCACTTCATTTGAGTCCATCTTACTGGTTCCAAGGCTGCTCGAAGATGTCCATCCTGTGGTTAATCTGAGGCTTCACTGAAAGCAATGTCCTTATTCCCACTGACAGCTGGCTGCCCGGTGAATGGAGTGAGTGCAGCAGGTCTTGTGCGGGGGGCCAGCAGAGCCGGAAGATGCAGTGTGTCCAAAAGAAGCCCTTCCAGAAGGAGGAGGCAGTGTTGCACTCCTTCTGCCCAGTGAGCACGCCAACTCAAGTTCAAGTCTGCAATCCCCAGGCCTGCCCTCCAGAATGGAGCCTTGGACCCTGGTCTCAGGTAACCTGGGAGACGCAGGGTTATCACTGTTTACTCGGGAGAGGTGAAGGTAGCAAAACCCCAGGAGGCACCCTGTTCCCCAGTTTCTCAACCGACCTAGAGGGCTACACACCGAGCTGCTAACCACAAGGTCAGCAGTTCAAACCCACCAGCCACTCCTGAGGAGAAAGATGAGGCTGTCTGCTCCTGTATCAATTTATCGCCTCAGAAACCCAAAGGAGCAGTTCTCCCCGGACCTATGGAGTTGGAGTTGCTGTGGGTCTGAACATTGGAGTTTGGTTTGGGTTTGGGTTGGGTTGTTCATGTGACGGCGCCCAGGAATCTGCATTTTATTCAGTGTTGTGAGTGAATCTCACTGTGATTTGTTACAGTCCTTGGAGGTTCGGAAATTAAGAACGTGGGGGCCATCCAGGCTATCCAATTAGGTTCAGCTAAAAGGGGTTTGTGTGTAGATGGGGAAGAGGAATTGGCTGCTGAATTCTCCAAAGCAAATGGAAAGTCCGAACAGAAAGGCTGAGCCACGTGAAGGCGATTGCATGCTTGCTTACAAGGGAAAGGCGGTAGGGTTAGCAGAAGACAAGCCGGAGTGTGGAGCACACAGTGTGATTTAGCCTAAGTGTGAGGTTGCCGCTGACTCCCAGTGGAAGGCACAAAATCCGAATGCTGGAGGAGCCACAGAATTACCTGTCATTCCCAACTCAAGGATTCCCCCTATGGCAAAAGTTCTCGGCGAGGGCATATCTACCACACACATTTTTGGACCATCACAACTTAGGAGAGGTAGCTACTGGTGTCCAGTGGGCAGAGATGAAAACCACAAAACTCAACCCCCATTGCCAATGAATCATTCAGACTCAGAAAAGCAAGCCGCTTTCCGTGCACGCAACAGCTTCTCGCCACAAGAACTGGCCCCCAGCGTCAGTGGTGCTGAGCTGGAGAAAGCCTTTTCTGGAGCATCCTCTGCAGATGGGAGCCCAGCCTCTTGTAGACCGTGGGTGGCGACCAAGTCGTGGGGAAAAACCACGAGATGCCTGGGTTTCATCACTTGAACTTTGAAGCCAGGCAGCGGGCCCTGGCCACGGTCCTGCCACGTTTTCCTTTAGAGAACTCCACAACCTGGGGCATATTGGTTTCTAGAAAGCTCAGTAAGTCACAAACCCATCCCAGCGGAGGTCAGAACCAGTGCTGTAGATTGGGTATTTGTTGGTGTTGCTTAGCCGTGGTAGGAAGACGAGACCATCTCTAGAGTGGGATGGGAAAGACCGCCTTTGAGCAAACTTTCGAGGTCCTTTAACGTGGGAGATTAGCTACTCATTTAGGTTGTCATTAGATGTCATTGAGCCCATTCAGACTTCTACCGACTCCCTTTACAACAGAGTCAAACACTGCCTGACCTGTGCCGCCTCCGTAATTGTCGCTTTGTCTGAGCCCCTTGTTGCAGCCACTCTGACAATCCGTCTCGTTGAGGGGCCTCCTCTTTCTCCTGGAACCTCCACTTTACCAAGCATGGTGACCTTGTCTTGGGACTGGCCCCTCCTGATAACATAAGCAAAGTACATAAGAGGATGTCTCACCATCTTTGCTTCTAAAGCACATTGAGGCCATAGTTCTTTGCTCTTTCGGTAGTCCACGGTACGTTCCATCACCACCACCATGTCCTCCTGCAAAGGCATCCGTTCTTCCGCAGTATTCTCCAGGCATTGTCCAGCTATAGTCGTTTAAAGGAAAGGATAAGTCTAATACATGGCACTGTGTTTTGGCCCCTTTATTTATTATCAGGAGTTGGAATCAACTGAAGGAGAACTCCAAGAATGATTTTTGCCATATATTATTTTAGCTCCAAGGATTATCTGAGCCAAATATCTGTGGTAGGCATGGGTAAAGAGAGATGGGGACGTGAAATTTTAAAAGAGTGAGTCAGTTCATGGAAATAAAAAAAAACCAACCCCACTGCTGAGTCACTTCAACGGGTGGCCACCCTTTAGGACAGAGCGGAGCTTCTCTTTAGGACTTCCAAGACCCTAAGTCTTTATAGAAGCAGACACCCTCTAATCTCCTGCCACAGGGGGGAGCTCCCACCCTTGTGCTGGCAACCAGGATCCTTTCAGTTCATCAAATGTACTCCAAAGGGTACGTGAAAATATTATGAGAGTGTATCGGTTTTGGTCACCTTGTGCTTTCTTATTTTATGACTACTAAACCAAAAGCTGGTGTGTGGATGTTTAAGCACTTATTCAGAACGAATGGGAAAGGGTCCTTCATAATTCACTCCTGGGACTTCTCGTTCCACTAGAGACCGTGTCTCGGGAAACACTGGGGGAGGCAATGTGTTCTGTTCACCCTTCTGAAAGCAGCCACAAATAGGTAATCCAACTCAATTAAGAGCTACCCATTTAGAAATTTTAAATGCGAACGAGTGGCTCTGTTTGCAGTGGTCTCTATCTGTGCGCTAGGATCCGACAGAATTGTTCAAAGCCCGTCTCTGCTTCTCGGCAGCTGTGTGATCAGTGTTTGGGCAAGAGACCTAAATCCTCCGATGCTCAGATTCCTCCCCTGTGAGATGGGATCACAGCAGTCAGGTCGTGGGGCAGATCCATGAGCATTTGTTCCCTGCCATGGTCTGCTCAATCTGATCCCACTGTGGTCATCTTCATCAGTCCCCCTGGCTCTGTCCCTCTGAACAACGTGAAGGACACAGGGACCTCAGAACAGACTTGGGAACAGGGGCCCAGGTGGTTGGCCGTTGACAAGGAGCCAAGCTGAGAGGACCCACATCCCAGATGGCCCTCCTGGAGAAACACGAGTTGACTATTGTCAAACTCAGGGAGGGGACACCACCCTGGAACACAAGGCCAGGCTCAGAGCCAAGGTCTTCTGAGTCACCCAGGATGTGCTTTTAGCGACACATCTGAAAACATGGCAGCGTTTCCTGCCTGATCTCGTTCACGGTTCTTGCAAACCTTGGGAGAGGAGGAGGGACCATGGCTTGTCCCTCATGCAGGTGTGCGCGGTAGGGGGGATCAGATGAGAGCTCGTGCTTCTCCCATTGGTTGGCCCAACACACAGCACCAAGACGGATGTTAGTGCACAAACTGGGGCCCTCCCTCCTTAGTTTCGATCCTGTCACAGATGGCTTTCGTTATTTTTATACAGCGACATACACCTGTGGGTACCCCAAACCACCACCACCCCCTTGCAGTTGCAACGATGCAGACTCGTAGCACGCCTAAAGGCCGGAGTCGAACTGCCCTCCCAGGTTCCTAAGAGCCTCTTCCGCCCTCCAGAAGGTGGGTGGGTGGCAAGTGCTGACCTTTCCGTTAGGGGCCCCTGGCTCCTTACACAGAGACGTATACGGGTAGGCACACTCCTGCAGTCGTTCTTGTTCGGGAAGCCCATCATCCTCGGTAGCCAAGTACCCAAGCAAACTCTGCCTTAAGCCAAAGAGAGATGCAGTCTCACCAACGAACCGCTTTCCAAATGGCTACCGTGTGGGCTATAAAGAGAAGTCTCTCTGCCGGCTTCTGGAGGAAGCACCTCTTCAGTCCGGCAGCAGCTCAGTAGCCACGGGGCATTGGGAATATCAAAGGCAGAGCGAACCCACATCTTAAGGCAAGTTCTGATCTCTCCTGGCCTCGCCTGGAATTCTCCGCTGGCTGTGAGGGACTATTTGGGGCATTTTGTTCAAACACCGAGAACTGTGTTGGCAAGCACTCGGTCGTGTTTGCTCATCTTGGACGCAGAAGGAAAACATCTCCGTGGTGTTTCTTTTGTCTCCTCCAGTGTTCCAAGACCTGTGGGCGAGGGGTGAAGAAGCGTGAAGTCTTGTGCACGAGTTCTGCCACAGCCAGCCCCCTCCCCGAAAGCCTGTGCACCAGCCTCCCAAAGCCAGAGTGCCAGGAGGGCTGTGTGCTGGGCCGGTGCCCCAAGAACACCCGGCTGCAGTGGGTCGCCTCCGCATGGAGTGAGGTATGAGTGTACACCTGCGATGCTTCGCTCATCTGCCAGCTTCTAGCACCCCAAAGCTTGGTTCTGTTCAGCATTACACTAGCTGTCGACTGACTGCCCTTTCCACCCTCCTGATGTCATCACACCTTGATCAAGCTTACCTATCACACTGGCTGGACCTGTGCTCAGGCAGCTGGGGGTGGGGGGAAAGTGTGGTGTGTGTGTGTGTGTGTGTGTGTGTGTGTGTGTGTGTGTGTGTGTGTGTGTGTGTGTGTGTGTGTATGAGACCTTCCATCATCCCATCCCATGAATTTCACATGGATGCCCCAAGCTTACATTAAAACACAGCTGCTTAGTGGACTTGACCACGGTGCCCTGCACCCTGAAACCTCCTTCTTTTGGCCCCCAGTGCTCCACCACCTGTGGTCCGGGTGTGAGGATGCGGGAACTGAAGTGCAGTGAGAAAGTCGTCCAGGGAAAGATGATAACTTTCCCAGAACGTCGGTGCCGCCATATTAAGAAACCCAGCCTGGATTTGAAGGAAACCTGCGACCGAGGAGCTTGCCCAGCCCGCCCAGTGTACAATCTGGCAGCTGCGTGGTACACGTCACCATGGCAACAGGTGCGTACCTGTGGATTTTCTTGTTAGGCGGCAGGCGAGTTGATTTCCTGTTCCTTGGCACCCCACGTGATGGAGTGGAAGTGCCCACAGGGCTTTCTCGAATAGAATCTTGTTAGGAGCGGATGGCAGATGGTTCCTACCACAGAGCTGCTGGGCGAATTAGAACCACCAACCTCTGGGTTGATCGTCGGACGCTTCACCATGGCACCACCCCGGCTCCTCCTCGCACACAGATGTAGGAGATCTGTCTGTGAGTGAGAGTCAGGGAAGGAGCCATTCCACCGCCCACTGTTGTCCTCTGAGGCCCACAGAAACGTGAGGGCGCCGTGGAGGCTCTAGGGCAAGAATGGCTTGTATCCCTGTTCATCTCCCGCTGTGACCCTGGGCAGGCTGCAGCAATCTCTTGTGAGCCTCTGTTCCACATCGAGAACATTGGGATGGTAACTTCTTGCAGATTTTCTTGACTGAATAGCTGAGGCGGCGAACGTCCAACAACATCGTCGCCTGGTGCTGATGTTGCTGCCGCTGCTTAAACCACCAGCGGGGCCGCCTGACTCCGTAGGAGTGCTGCTCACGGTCTTACTCTTCTGGTTCTTAGGCCATATTTCCAAATAACGTCACAGCAGCTCGCTATCCCACAGTGCCTTCCGTGCCTGCTCCGGTATCTCACGTAACCTGGAAAGCGACCTGTTCCTAGGTGTTGCCCCACTCACTCGCCACCTTTGTGTCCATGCCAACTCTCAGTGACCGTATAGGACAGGGTAGAACTGCCCTGTGGGTTACAAGAGTGTCACTGTTTATGGGAGTAAAGCCCTGTCTTTCTCCTGCAGAGTGGCTGGTGGGTTCGAACTCCTGACCTGTGGTTTTACGGATGGGACAAAGGGTGGAGCCGTTCAGCCAAGGACATCAAGCCCTTAAGCCCATCAGCTTTTAGAGCCAAGTCTTCTTCTCAGCAAACTTAGATGTCACTCGGTTCACCTTGGCTTGCTTCTTGCTGGTGAGGGTTAGTACGCGATATTCAACCTCAGAGACCCGTGGCTTTAGGAAGCCGACGCTGTGTCTTTGCCCTTGAAGTCTTCCAGGCAACACACATGTTCAGGTGGCTTGAGAAATGCGACCCACCTCACTATTTAACCCTGGGGGAGGATTCTTATATAGTCTTCTGTTTGTGTGTTGATGTGTTTGTATAAACGCATTTCATGACTGCCCTCGGGTATTTAGATCTAGACATAGATGAGGTAACATCACCAAGCTCATGGTAAGTGGAATGAAAGACATGGAATTTTGAAGACCCTCCCCCGTGTGGGGGGGGGAGGAGTGTATGTGCATGGAGGAAACTAGGAACTAACACATGGAGGAACGGAAAGGAAATCAGGACCGTCCCATGTTCCCAGTGGACCAGGCATTGTTCTAAGAGCTTATATGCTGCATTGCAATGATTTTCCTTTGTGCTTCTATAAAATCACAGCGAATTTAAAATGTAAAGGAATTTGGAAACTCTTATCATACTACAGAGAACAAGGGTCAGCAAGCCATTGCCAGCAGGGCCGAATCTGCCCCTCCCACTCTGCCCATTTAGGGAAATACCCATTATGGGGACCCAGCCATTCTCATTCGCTTCCGTGGTGTCTAGGGCTGCTCTCACAGTTTAAAGGCAGGGTCGAGTAGCTACCATGGACGCCCTGTGGCCCCTATAGACTGAAATATTGACTTCCAGCCCTGTATGGTACCAGATGATCAACCACTACTGTAGATGAGTTGGTGACAACCATGCCGTGATATTTGGGTGTTGGCTTCCTTTCCATTACTGGTTTATTATCTATGATTACATTGCCTGATCAAGAGAACAAAGATCATGTGGCATGTTTGTTGAAGCAAAACAAAAAGCAGGGCTTTCAGTTGGCTCCTTCCAGCTTCACCCCTGCTGAGAATGTGCGTTCCCACCTCAGATTTACCTACTGAGTCGGACCCTCTGGTTTACGAGGATCCCCAAGGAATGGGGGATCTGGAAGGATCCCCCATGAAAATGTAAATGCTCATCTAGGGATGCATGAGAGTGAACCAGTTCAGAGCTCTGATGAAAAGAAACATCAATAGCTCCCAAGGAGCCCTGCTGGTGCTGCAGGTTGGACATCAGGTGGATAACCACAAGGTCAGTGGTTCAAACCCACCAGCTGCTCGGAGAGGAGGGGGAGGGAGAAAGATGAGACTGTCCACACTAGTAAAGATTTACAGCCTAGGAAACCCCATATAGGGCTGTGATATTGAGTTGGAATCAACTCAGTGGTAGTAGGTTTGGGTTTTTACACCCTGAAAATACTTTTAATTTTTTAAAATGTGTAGCTGGCAAAAAATAAGGTGACTGACAATGTTTGATCCTCTTTCTTTCATATGTTTTTTTTTTCTTTTCCACTTTAATTGATCAGGGAAACTACTGACCACAGGTAGCTGTGACACTAACTTAGAATCTGACTGGGCTTAAGACAGAACTTCCGACTTGTCTCCAATGGGCTGCTCTCTTCCTGCGCTAGTTTTGATTATGTGCTTCACTGTGGTATCCACAGAGATTGTCTGGAATTCTTGAAAATCTGTGATAGATTGCTTAGATGTGTCTGTATTTGTTCCTGCATTCTTACGGCCACTCCTTTATTTCTGAAACCTCATTTATGAATGAGTCAGCCACCTGGGTGATCTTGGGCTAAAGCTAGAGCCGTTTCCTAAGATCCTGATCAGAGCAGAGGGACCACACACCTTAGGATAGACACCATGGCCTATGAGCACATTGCCTGGGCCTGGCCTGCCCTGCCCATTTTGTCCTCAGGCAGGCTGATAATGACCTTAAGCAGCAGAGGGTCTCTTTTCTTGTGTCATAGCCATGAGAAGGGGCACTGTCCCTGTCCACTGAGCACTCTATGGGCCTCTCTCCCCTCCCCTGCAGTGCACGGTGACCTGTGGAGGAGGGGTCCAGACCCGGGCTGTCCACTGTGTGCAGCAGGGCCGGCCATCCTCCGGCTGTCTGCTCCACCTGAAGCCGCCAATGTTGCAAGCCTGTAACACAAACTTCTGTCCAGCCCCGGACAAGAGAGGTAAGAGACTCCACGCTCCAGTTCATTCCACTGGTCTGCAGAGAATTTCTTGACAGTTCCCCCATGTTTGGTGGGTGGCTTGTGCATTGCACAACTCTAGTGGGCACCGTTCATGTGCCCGTGTATGTGCACAGCGCCCCTTAGGGGTGCACAGACACACTTCTCTCCCAGGTCCTCTCTGCCCCAAGACATGGTGTCTGCCCTGGTCTGCTCTCAGCGTCATCAGTCCCAAGTTTTAATTGCACCCTATAGCATGTTAGCCATGGATCCTTACTTTGAAATGAGAAAAGGCGGCTGCCTTTGGAAACTAACACCCTTTTAAAAGAAAACTTAGGATTTTCATAGTTTAATAGACAACTGGGTAACTTCCACGTGCCAGGAATTCGGATGCTCAAGAATGAATGCGTAAGAACTTCCCTCCAAAGTTCACATCCTGAGGTGGATATGGGAGACTCCCAGGGTGCCCGTTCTGACACGCCCCGGTCTGTCCCAAGCACGTGTTTAAACGGGCTCTCTGTCATCCGTGGGGACGAGTTCTCTCACAAACCCGTCTTGGTCATCTTAGGGTGCCTCTCAAAATGAGGTCCCGTCTGAAGGGATCTGTCAGTTTAATTCCAGGGCAGAGAAGTTCACTCAGAGATTATGGGGACTGGTTTGTTGTTATTGCTGTTTTTTGGAGGGACTCATGGGGGTGGGTGGGTGGGGGAGGGGTCACCAAGCAGGAGTCCTGATTGATTTTCTCAAAGGCCGCAGGTCACTCACAGGGACTTAGGAGGGACAAGCTTTAAGAAAAGAGAAAGGAGCCTTGGTGGGCAAAAAGACAGCCCAGGAATTTCCCCCATCACAGCAACACACCTGTCCGTACCTCTGAGGGCAGCAAGGAGGCGGTCCAGGGGCACTTCCAGGAGAAGACCCTTCAGAGACCGTGTCTGTACACGTCCAGCCCGGCGTTTCCCCTTCAGGCGCCTCTTTGTTCCCCAAACCCAAAGGACACTTCCAAGGAGCATGGTGGGAGCCCCTCCAGGCTGTTGCTGTGGCGTGGTATCAATGGAAGCACACAGATGCTTCTGGGGAGGATCAGAGAGTTGGAAACACTGCCTTCGGACATCTGTAAGCCTAGGCGGAGAATAGGTCCCCAAAGCCTCAGCTTCTCGTTTTTTAAGATTTTGGGTGTTTAACAAAGGTTTCTAAGATCTCGTAGCAATGCTTTCTGACTTAGCCTCATTAGGACGGCCAACTCCAGTGAATAAGCATGCACCCGGGACGACACATTCAGAGTTTTGTTTCGTCTTCTTGTAGTGGAAGTAAGTTCAAACGAAGTGCCGGGAGTCTTAATTGGAAAGCAGGGAATTCAAGTACCTGAAGGAACCCTGCTTTTCTTCCCGGGCCCCATTCATTTTCAAAGTAATCTGATCAAACAGGAAGTATTCTTTCTTTTGGCCTAATCAGATTTTCTTGTCCGGCACGTACCTGCGGGGTGCTGTTTGAACGCCACCACGGCGCTGCCACAGCTGCCCGGCTTCTGACCGTTTCTGCCGATCCGTGGTAGATCAGATGAGCTTCGGGCCTACTCCACCCCTGTCTGTGACTCCTCCAGCCTCAGCCTGAGGCTGGGGCATCTCTTTGCCCTCGTCTTGTCTAAGAGGCGAACACCAGTTGTGCGTCAACTTCTCAGAACCAAGCAACGCTGAGATGGTGAAGCTCTATACCTTTCTCAACAGCAAGCTCATGGAGCAGAAGCTCACAGCGTGGGAACAAGTGGCCATATTCTCCACGGTCCTTTCCTTCACCATCAGGGATGTATCATTCATACACACACACACACACACACACACACACACACCTATTAATATCTGTCTCCATAGCAACATAGCCTATCTGTAGAGATGAATGCCAGCATGCAAGCCATCCTCCCTCCCCCGCCCCTAGTACTGCCAGCAAGACAGTGAGAAATCATAATGTCTCCTGGGCAGAGTAATGTGTGGCCCATGTGAGCACAAAGCCCACAGACCTTATTTCCCCTGGTTCACTCAGCGCTTGGCACCTCCACCCCCACCCCCATCCCCACCCCCGGCCATATGTGCTGAATGAATCAATGCAGGAGGGCATGAATGAATGGTGCGTGAAGCCATGTGTGGTCTTCTACATCATTCAAACCCAGCTCACTAGGTATCTGCTACATACCCCTGGCGCTCTCCTCAAGGCAGCAGCAGAAGAAGGCAGGGTCTCCGTTCTCAGACTCTGAAGAGAGAGTGTTTCCAAGGAGAAGGAGTTCTGAGAGCAAACACATCTAAGCAATGGAGTGTAGTCTTTGGAACAGGGCTGGCCATTCCACCTGTGTTGTCGAGACCAGGCGCAGGCGGAGCTGAGGACACAGCTTGAAGAAGTCTTGACTGAGTCTTTCAGGTATCTTTTAGAGGCGGGAAGGATGAAGTGGAAGGGAAAGAGGTTAAAAATCATTGGGATCTCTTTGGCCTATAGTTTTCCTCAGGGAGCCTTCTCCATTGTTGTCCCATTCCCATCCCAATCCCAGGGCGAGTTGGGAGCCCATCCTCATCCCATGTAAGAAGAACGGCAGGCCAGACCACAGCCCTGTCTGTCTGTCTGTCTGCCTTACAGCTCTTAGCCAAGCAGCCAATGGTGAGAGCCACAGAGTATGTTCTCTGGAACCACGAATGGGCAGTGAGCATCCCCGTGATGATCCAGGAAGAAGATGGTTCTGTGACTCTTCCCCGTGACCCCCACTGAGAGCCAGGCATTCTGCTAGGCTCTGTGAGTGTTTCAGAGGATCCGGCCTCCCCTTAAGGAGCTTACAGTCGGGGGTCACTTTCTGGTCATTGCGGTAACTCAACGTCAACACCACCGAAGCCACAGCTTGCCCACGTTGGCATCTCCCAATCTTCCAGGGCAGCCAACAGGTGTGCAGTGCCCTGGTTCCCCTCCCACACTGACAGCCCCTTCTACCTAATAGTGTCATTCCAATGGGGTGCTGTACCTGGGTGTCTTGGTTGGCGTCTACACCTTGGAAGACCCATCGTTTCGCTTGGCACGCATTAGACGGTCCGCTCTATCTGGAGCAGGAGAGCAGTCGCCCAGGGACGGCGTGTCCTTTAGCACCTTCACACCTTGCACTGCTTCCGTCAGCTGGGCGGTGCCTGGGCTGCAGCTCCCCGATCCTAGTAAGCTACATACAGCCCATGGAAGTCCGCAGTTTCCAAGGAGGGGAGGAAAGGGGAGAACAGACGGCACTGAATCGAGGAAGGAAGAAGGAACTTGAGTCAGGAAAATGGACGTGGAAGTGCACACTCTGCCACGTACTAGCTGGGTAACTCTGGCACCCCCAACACCCACCGAATGTGATGTTGCCCCAGTCACAACGCAAGCCAGGCACAGTGGCTGGGCTGAGGTGTATTGGGGTCACTTTTTCATATATGGCCAATGCAAGAACACATCTTATGGTTAGACAAAGGGCCTCTTGATCTTTCGGGCTATTTCTCAAACGGAGAAATAATGTTGACTTAAAAAAAAAAAGAAAGAAAACTGTTGGGAAGATTAAAAATAAATTCATTCACTTTGGAACATTCATTTTCTTGTACCATTGTGAACACCTCATACCTAGTGGCTCAGTTGTATAAGAAGAGTTGTGCAATCAACATCACAGTTAACTTTGATCCCCGTAGGGCAGGTTAGAAATGCCCCTGCAGGTTTCCGAGTCTGTAGAAAGTCTCATCTTTCTCCCAAGGGAGCTGCGGGTGGTTTTGAACTGCTGACCTTGCAGTTAGCAGCCCAACCTGTAAC